ACACTTTTGCTTTCGCACAGAAAAACCTGGAAAAATCAGCTGAAGGACGCAAAGCGTACTACGACCAAAAGGCCTCTCACGAGGAACTCCAAGTGGGAGACAGGGTCTGGTACTACACGTTTGCCCCCAAAAACTGGGAGAAGAGAGTCCGGGACCGGAACTCTCACCCGTAAGCTGATGCCTAGATGGACTGGACCCCATCTGATAATCGACAAAGTGTCTCCAGTTATCTACCAGATAAAAATCAGTAAAGGCCAAAAAGAGCCAACTGTTAAATGGGTACATCGAAACCAGGTTAAACCACACAAGGCGTGCAATAACTCCTCAGGAGACAAAGATCTCACAAAATCTGACCTCGTGGGAATAAGGGTCATCCAAGCAGAAGATAACTAATGGATAATAAACTTAACCATAGTTTAAATTCACAGGACCTACCCTTGACCACTACGAAGCTAAGACCTATCTCTTTGTGTTTCCATAAGACAATGATGGTACCACTCCTGGTAATCTTCACCCTCTTGGGTGCCACCCAAGAAAACAAAGCCCTCGTACAAGCGGTAAATGACTTAACTCGTAAGGTTGAAGCGGATTACGCTGTCGCCCACCTAATGGATAGGATTTTTGCTGACATGCTTAGAGATGTCAGTTCGTCGGTAGATACACTAGCCACCGGTAGGATCCCACCGTATCTAGTCTCTCTACAGATGGTGAACGACATCCTCAGCTCCGCTACGCGCGAAAGAGTCACGCAAATACAGGCTCACCTGGCTTACACTCTCGGTAGCGCAATTCCAATCTACGTCAATCACAAAACGTTTGAAATGGCGTTCATTATCAACCTACCGATAATTCCCTCAAATGGCATATATAGACTCAGGGACGTTGTTAATGTTGGCAATTGGCACGGTGAAAACCATGTTCAAATTGACACACCGAAGATGGTTGCGTACCACGACGATAACCCCTCAGTTTATCTAGCTCCAAACCTTCAGATGTGTGTTCTCACTCGTGAGATACATTATCTGTGCGCGAGTAAGCCGTTTGTGTGGAATCAAACCGCGGGCTTATGCGGGTTGACACCTATTCCGGAGAATTCTAAGTGCTCAACGACCGTAACGCCTCGACACCTGGCTAAAGCTGCAAAAGCGGAAATAATTGGCTCTCGTTGGCTAGTGAACGCTCCTCAAAGAAAGGCGATCATAGCCTACGATCAACCCGGGGCAAATAGACCTTTGACGTTGCCGGACAAAACAATGTGGATCAGTGTTCCCCAGGGAACAACCATACACATTGGTGATTTGACGCTCTATCACCTCGATCCGGAACAATGGGACGCGACTCTGGATGACTCAGAGTACCTGGGGAATATGTCTATAGACATAGATCCAGAGACTCTGGGAAGGATCCGTTTTGAAGGCACCCAAGTCGTCGACGTGAAACCAATAAACCGAGTTCTCAAGTCTCTCAGGTCCACAATTAAGAACCCGATCCAACCAATTAACTATGCGTGGTCAAGCGCGGACACGTTAATCATAGCCCTGTTAATGACGATAACCCTCGTATTGTGTGGGATACTCGCATCCCTGTTCCGGGGCCAAACGTCACTCCGAGTCGACGTGGATCGCCATGCAGCGCACCTCGATATGATTATGCCTCGCGTAAGCGGGTCTGCAAAGAAGCCACTCACACGGGACAGCGTGACTGAAACTGACAACCAGGGTGAGGGGAAGCAGTGAAACGATGTTTCTAGATGCTTAGTCACTACTCTTGTCGGTGTTGAAACGTTGTTGAATTGGTTTTGGTTGTTTCTGAGGTAAGAATGAATCTTGTGTGTAAGTTAAGTTAGAGACTAAGAGGACTTTAACCATGCCAACATGCAGTTCATTCGCTAAATTGCAATCCTTGCGGAGTCAATGTATATTATTGTTACCTTAAGTACCATAATCTACATTGATATCACATCGCTAAAGCCGAACCTACTCGAACAATTCTATTCGGGGGGATAGCTAATTATTTTTGATAAGTCTCGCCATAGACTTCCAAAACATTTATGGGGAAACCAAACACCCAATCTCAAGTCGTTCGTCTAAAAGACAACAGACATTTGATCCAAACTATATTTTGCCATGTAAAGCTAACTTAAGCCAGGTTAGAAATGGAAAAATAGTTTGGAACCCTTTTCTATAGGCTTAAACCCCTGTAGTTACCCCTTTTCAGCATGCTCCACCCCTTAACTGGTAGTTGTAGCTGTTCCCAACCATAATAGCTTACACACCAGGTGCATATAGTTTAAGGCCTTATGTAAAATCCCCTTCATAAGCCCACCTTAAACCACATAATTGCATGACACATTGAACCAGAACGGCACAGGCTGGACGTCGCTGGAGACAACCTTCGCTGGAGGCGACCTGCAATCCTGACGTTGGTCTCCACTCTTCATCCAGTGGCCGCTTCTTCAGTTCAATCCAAGGATACCCCTCTGTATGCTGATTAATCAACACTTCCAATCGTTGTGGATTTACCATTGTGGATTATATGACTTTTTCCAGTGGATTACAGACTCTGTTTTCAAGGGGTTAAAGCATTGCTACAATGGAATTATCGAGACGATGTGGGATTATAATCAACACAATGGAATTACCGAGAACATTGTGGAATTACCTTGACTTTTGTTTTCCTTGCTGGATTACTTTTGACTTTTGTTTTCCTTGCTGGATTACTCTTGACTCTTGTTTCTTTGCTGGATTACTTCAAGCTTCAAGGACAATCGAAGACCTAAGTTCATAGTTGGAATTCATCCCCATGGACAGGTGATGATTTCCAAAGGGGGGACTGTAGTGAACTTGATCTGGTGTCACGACTAAGCCTAAGGTCAAAACCCTTGACCTTAAGAACCTTGTGGGACAGAAACTGTCATTTTATTGATTTGAATCCAGAAATACAGGTTCACCCATCCTGAGACTTTCTTTCTTGAAGATTCAAGTGAAAAGAACACTCTCTTTTTTATTATCATTACTATTTTACAAATGTTGATAATCAAAGTGTCTTAGTTCAAACCATTTTAGATGTTGCAGTGAACTAATCAATTTTATTAACTGTGTAATGATTTTTTCTCATGCAAAGTTAGAATTCATGTTGAGGTCTGTTACAGATTTTTATGCATTTTCTGATTTCTGCCTTTGAATGAGCAAGTGTAAGTTGGTCCAAGGTTGGAGTCAAACGCAAAACAAGTTGTTGGAACGAACTGTCATGTTTTTAGAATCCTCTCAGACGTAAATATAGAGGTTTTGGCACCTGTTTCTGAAACGCGCCAAAACAAAACTCTCTCTGTCTGTGAGAACATTTCTGATCTGTCCCATAACAATTCTTGCTGTCTTCTAACCTTTTACGTCACAAAACACACCCCGTCTGGTCGGTTCTGGCCAATGGGAGACTCCCGTATGAACCGGGAAAGGGCTCTTTAAATTGTCGGTACTTCCTGGTCTACTGAGATCTGAAAACTACTCAGTTCTGCTGGAGTTCTGTGAGGGTTCCACTCGGTTCGGTTGAGTTCAGTTCTGTTCAGTTCTGTGCGGAGAAGCCCAGTTCTGGGAGACGGGAAGATCCTGACATGACAACAGAGCTCTTCCGAGTCATGGGAATATAACACTTTCCACTCGCCACTACTTCTGACGAGCTACAGCCATCCTAAGGAGACGCTGGACAGGTAGCGTTAACGGAACTCCATATCTGCTGATTAATCTCAGAAAGGTAATGAGTCAAGTTTCCTACCAAGCGTACCGAGGTGAGCTGGGTTCTGATGGAGAGTGTCGGTTCTGGTGAACACTTCCCCTCACATACCATCTTTACTCCCTTTAACTTCTTTCCCATCTTTAAACTTTTCTCTCAAGTAGAAATTCTTCCAGATATTTTAGAAATGTCTGTGTAAAGTGCTCATCCACATCCGTGTGGGTAAAAGATCATAATTGTACAGTTTTCATAAATGTCTGTGGTGAAGCAACGGAAAAATCATGGCCGTATGATTTTTCCTGATTGATTGCTTATGTTGTTATTTTCATAATTTGCCAAATTAATGTAAATGTTTGATGTTAAACTTTGATTCTGTAAATAAATGACCGCATTCATTTTGATGGGTCAAATATAAATGACGTCTCACGTTTGCATTTCATTAAATTCAATGCACGTTTTATTCAGTTCAGAAAAATGAGGAATCCGCATTAATTGATGAATATATCAGAGCATCTGTTCATCTACAATAACATAGTATTGATTAATATTGGCATGTTCCTGTTTTTAGTATTCTACGCCTTACAATCTAGCAGTTTTTTTTGCTACTTTTCCTTTTAATTATCCTTACCATTTTATTTTCATTTGTTAAATAAATAAAAAAATAAATTAAATTTGTACATTTATGATTGTCTATTGTTGTCATTGTTGTCCACTGTTGTCATCACTCTTTGTTAAACTTCAGGTCTCTCTTGTAATTGATCCAGTCACCGAGGCTCAATGGGACTAACCTGCATAAATGAAGGTTGAAGTTTTAAACTTTGTAAATTATTTTCTGTAGGTTCTTTTTATTCCTCTGTTGCACATTTATGCTGCAAGGTTTATTTGACAAGGTAAAACCTGAATCGCTAAAACAGGTCGTAACTTCCTCCCACCCGTGTAGCTTTCTTCTACATTTAAAAGGGAAACTCCTCCTTCTGCAGCTTGCCGTCACTTTTAGCCGGATCATATGTCGGCTGACTTAAAAGGAACAAGCCTACCCATTTCATTCGCTGGTCCTTTAAAGATAACAAAACTATAGTTTAATCTAAAAAATAAAAAAAAAGATCATAGCAACAACAACAGAGTTGAATTTTCAGTGCTTACGACTTGGCGCTATACAAATAAACTGAATTGAATTGAACCAAATAGTTGAAAAACTTTTACTTCCGTTTCGACGCGTGAGAAGCCATTCGTCCAATCACCGTTCAGCTTTTTCAATCGTTCGCAGTGACGCAGCACGTAGCGGAAGTACAGTTAGAGGCTGTGAGCTGTGTTTTTATCCTCGAATGCTACTCTTTTCAGAAATGTACAGTTTGTACACATTTACAGTGCGGTGGTAAACACTGAGCACATTAATGTATAATAACGAACGTGTTGTACTTTATTGACAAACCGCGCGGAGTAGATGTTAGACAAGTTCAGTAGCTGAATATCAGTGCTAGCTAACGAGCTAACAGGTGAGTACGTGCACTCGTGGTTTCGAAGAGAAGTCGGTTGTTTATGCTCTGTTCTCACCATCTTATCTTTGTTTTCTCACGATCGTTTTTGCCTGTGTTTGACTCACATGTGTCTCATCCCGTCAGGTGTTACCATGTCAAAACAGCCGCTGGGGAAGACGTTGTTGCGGAATGTTATTCGCCACACAGATGCCCACAACAAGGTGCGTTTGGGGAACACGTGTGAAGAAAAATCAAATGTAGCTTCCTTATTCTTTGATTTAATCTTTTCAACTTCTCGAGGAAGAATACTAGACGAGTGTGAAAACGTTTGAAGGTCTAAACATCTTAAAATTAACTAAACGTTTTCAGCTTGTTCAGTAAAAGCACTAACGAGACAGGAAAAGAGTTAGGAATCAGAGATTTTCTGTGAGCAGTCCCAACAATCTTGATCTTTTGAAATCACACAAAAAAAATACTGTGAAAATTCTTGATGGGATGGACTATACTGCAGTAACAGATTCACACAAGACGTTTATGATAAAAAAGCTGATACCAACTAGAAAGAAGCATAATTTAAGAAGTCAAATTATTACATCTTGTTTACTTGTCTTCCTGCTAGAAGTTAGGTGATTCGATTTTCTACCCTACTACCTGTCAAGAAGTATCCTTGGGGGGGGGGACACCAGGGGCCTCATGTATTAACAGAGGTCTTGTGTGCCATCATTCCATGCACACTTCACGATGTGTCAAAATGAACGTTGTGTGAACATGTGCTTAAATGTATGCACACCTTTGACCTGCTTTGAGAAAGTTTGACCTTCATTCAGTCCAGATTATCAAACTGCAAAGTACTGGAACTCGCCTAAATACTCCAATAAAATTCTCTGTTTGTTTTTCTGAACCCAGGGGGGGTTTAAACACAGTGTTTTCTCATGAGTTTGAGGCTATATGGTTTACAGCTGGAACGAGGAAACTGAACCTCATACAATATAATAAAATAACACACCTCAAAAATGATCAACACAACTTTACGCCGACGTAATCTCCAAAGTGTCCCTTTATTTTTGTCACGTGTATCTGTAAACACACACGTGCCTGCAAGGAGCACAGGCTGATAAAATCCATGTGAATTGTTTAAAGGGCACTTTCATTCTCACTGGGAACAAAACTTTGTGAGATCAGCAAGTTTATTCAGAACAACTCGCATGTCATTCCACAGGTTGATCTGGTGTGCACAATGACATGATCATAAATCGCTGCATACAATTGTGCAAAATCGTGAAGCTGTGGTGATGCAGGAGGACATCACTGATGGATGAATTGGCAGGAAGTGTGTTTTTTAGGGATTACACTTACCATATACTAAATGGTTATTTTAAGGTTCTCCTTAAGCCCCCAGTATACTGCTGCATACATCCATACGCAGAAGTACGCACGTACGTACGCAGAGGTATGAGCGTACCCCCCAGGGCATGTCCGTGCAAAGCTCAAATTTTTACGACCGCGTATGCGGTGTCGCACAATAAACTGCCCAGCGACGGACTGTTTTGTATGCGACACCAATGTATTAAATTCCCCTTCTTCATCCCTGATCTGGCCTTTTCTTTTGGTTTGTTTTTGCCAAGAGGCAGAGATCTCTTCCTCCTCCCTTGATGCAATGACTGAAATGGTGAGAAATGAAGGAATTTGTCACGAGCGAATTAAACTCGGGTCCAGCGTGGCTGCGGGAGGGTCTGGAGATTTCCTGGTGGGCTGGTCTGATGTGTGGGCTGTAGAGCCAGCACTCCCTGTTTTTTTATTTATTTATTTAGATCTTTTTATTAACAACATATAAACACAGAACACCGCTGCGGCTGAGGCTGCCAGCGCTCGCTTTTATTCTTTTTTCCGACCTGTCAATCAATCCAGTAGGCTTGTCAGCAAATGACCAATCGGCGACCTCAGTTTGTCCCGAAGGTAAACGCCCCTTGTCTGTGAAGCTTCTCTGCAGCTGCTTGGGGTGTACGCTGGAGTATGAAGACTGAACCCTCTGCGTATAGTACACGCGTACGTACACGCGTACGTACACGTGAACGGACGTACGCGGCAGTATACTGGAGGCTTTAGGAGTGACAAGGATGGATAAGATTAGGAATGAGATCATCAGAGGTACAGCACAGGTTGAACAACTGGGAGATAAAGTTAGAGAGGCCAGACTGAGATGGTTTGGACATGTCAAGAGGAGGGACCGTGAGTATATTGGTAGAAGGATGTTAGAAATGCAGCTGCCAGGAAAAATACAAAGAGGAGATATATGGATGCAGTTAGAGAGGACATGAAAGTAGTTGGAGTGAGGACAGAGGATGCTGATGACAGAGTGAGGTGGAGGAGGATGACTCGCTGTGGCGACCCTTGAAGAGGGAAAAGCTGAAAGAAGAAGAAGATACTAAATGGGTATTTTGCAGTCATTCCTGATCCATGCAAGCCATATGGGACCGTGTCATCCATGATCATCCATGCTCATGTTCGTGCTGCTGTTTGACGTAATGTTTTTATGCCGTTAGTGCTTAGTGTATTTTTAGTTGATGTTTTTCTTAGTTCATATCTTAGATGTTATTGTTTTTCTTTTACATTTTATTGTTGGATGTAACTGGGACCCTGTGTGCATAATTTTGTTCCACCACATGCACCACATGCGGTGGAACGACAATAAAAAATCTCTGACTCTTGTCACTCTGATATATCAAATTCTTTGTGATCCTATATTAAAATTAAACTTGATTGCAGTTGCACCAAAAAACCTCAGGTAATGCGCAGCTACTTGTTTCTTGACCTCATGTATAAAATAAGCCTCTAAGTTTGACCAAACTCCCGAGTACCTCTGTGTTTACATTAATTATGTTGTTATAAAGTTGGAAACGCCTCAGAGGTGCTCTGCGGGTAGATCCCTGGTTCAGCTAATTCAGTGACAACCGCAGCTTCACACACACAATCACTACCTCTTTGCAAATGTGTGGCAAACACATTTTTACACCCCACTACTTCTTTAGGAGAGTCTCAGACTCGCATTCCTTGAAATTCCTTATTTTCCTGCATCTAGATGTAATCTCTGATTGTGCAGAGAGGAGAATCACACATGCTGGACACATCTGTATCTATTTGCATATGTAGGTGAGGTGTGTGTGTGTGTGTGTGGGGGGGGGGGGTGTCATGTGCACGTAGTTTCATGTTGGTCTGAACTTGAGAAGCAGATGTGCACAGAAACATGCATGCGCACGGTTTTGATAAGTCTGAATATTTTCTGTGCGCACGTAGTTGTCCCTTGTTGTCCCTGTGCCAACTTTCAGGATTAAAGCTTTGCACTATTTGATACATGAGGTCCCAGACCCCACTTAGCTCTTCATCTGCTCATTGGTGTATGACTAGATGCAAACCTATAAGTGCTACATTAGGGTGCATTTGAATGAGAAACCTATTAAAAAAAAACAAATAAAAGTTTAAATCTGCTCAGTTATATAGCCTGGTGGTCTGAAAGGGAGACATGTACGTATGTTACAAATGCTTTTTGTGACATATGATCCAAAATTAGCATTTATCCAAAAAATAAGACTTCTTATCAGTTGTATTATTTGATATCCTTTTTTTAATCTTCTGATTTTCAGTGATGTGTGCAGATACTTGTAAGCTCTCCCTCACACAAACCGGTTCCTGAGTTTTGATACACAGTGGAGTGCACAAAACAACTCTTATAACGAGAAACCGCTCTCCGTAATAATGACGCCCAGGCTGGCAGGCAGACACCTCTCCTGCGTGGCTCATTCTGGCAGGCTCTCATTTCCCAGCATGCCACTACATATGATAGGAGAAGCTGATTTGTGCAGCAGCTGTGCCAATCAGCTCCACCTGCCACTGCTAATGAACCAATGTGACCCAACTCTCCATCTTGAGCTGAGGAAAACCACTCCTCACTATCTCCGAGTGATTTTCCCCAAATCAATTGAAAATAATTTGTCAAGTTTAATTATATTTGTTGGTTTGGGGGCTGGAACAGGACTCTTAACACAGATTTTGTTTGATTGAGACTGAAGTGAGATATGTGACTTATCTGTGCTGCTCAGTGTCCATGCTGCTGATCTCGTGCCTCTAAACCATGGGGTTCCCAACCCTGGTCCTTGAGGAACACCATCCTGCATGTTTTAGTTGTTTCTCTGCTCCGACACACCTGATTTTAAGAAATGGGTTATTTACAGGCTTCTGCAGAACATGAGGAAGTAATTAAACCACTGAATCAGGTGTGTTGGAGCAGGGAAACAATTAAAACATGCAGGATGGTGTTCCTCAAGGACCAGGGTTGGGAATCCCTGGTTTAGAGGCAAGAGATCAGCAGCACAGATATGTCGCATATCTCACTTCAACCTTAATCAAACAAAATCTGTGTTAGAGTCCTGTTCCTGTCCCCAAACCACTGTTCTAAACTGCTGCATTCATACCCATCTGCTCACAACAGACTCATTTTTGGGCTGCTGATTAATGTACTTTATTATTTTACATTATTAGTGTTTAGCATATACCTTAGATCCTTGTATACCAGGGGTGGCAAACTCACTTACAAAAGGGGGCCAAAATTAAACCCTTTCTCAAAGTAAGGGCCAGTTTCAGAATCTACATTAACTCAAGTTAGATCCCCAACATCTTTTCTTGGTTGCAGGTTCCTCAACAAAAGTTTGATTGGTCTCATTTGTCATTCTCTGTTTCATTTTTAAAATCATAATCAAAGATTACTGAAAAAAAGTTATAAAATGATTTGCATTTAAAATAAAATCTTGGGGGCCATATAAGATGTCAACGAGGGCCACCTTTGGCCCCCGGGCCTTGAGTTGGACACACATGTTGTATTCTGTTTCTCTTTATACTTTATATTTTTTGCTATTTTTTGGTGTAACTGGGACCTTGAGTATACAATTTCGTTCCACCTCATGTACCACATGTAATGCAAATGACAATTAAAAACTTTGAAGCCACGTTAACTTAAAAGTGTAGATCATAGTCTAAGAGATTGGAAAGATGAGAACGATTCACAACTTTCAGCACCGCTGAGGTTTTCTTGGGGGGGGGGGGGTAGCAAAAGTTTAAACCTGTTTATAGAATTATTGTTTAATAAAGATCTACATGTTAGAACACTGATTTGTATATATGTGTGTAGCCTGTTAACATCTGATTGAAGTGAGATATAAACATGTCTCTGCTTTCCTTTTTTCTCTCGTCATCCCGCTGCAGATCCAAGAAGAGATGGAGATGTGGAAAATGCGAGACTGGGAGGTCCAGAAGTCCCAACACAAACATTTTCCAGATACAGACAGTGTGAGGTAGGAGCAGTCCCAGTTTAATCTGCGCTGGTTAAACACAACTCGTATTAACACTGCTTGTCTCTCTGAAACTTCTGAAACACATTTGATTTCCAGAGGACGGATGCACTGCGATCGAGTCCCAGATTTGTCCAGAAACAGGAGTCGAAGCAGAGAACGAGTTTTAGAACACGACGACAGAGAGGCTCGATACTGGACCCGCAAACTCTATGAATTTGAGGCCGGGGATCCTGACAGGTACGCTGCATGACAAATGTGTTTTTCCCTTTCTGTATTCTGTCAGTGCCGGTACATCTGCACCCTCACTGAAAATGTAATCTTAGAAGAGTTTGACAAGTTTTCAACATTTACACGTTTCTTGTGTTCTCGTCACAGATGGGGACATAGTGGCTTCAAGGAGCTTTATCCTGAGGAGTTTGAAAGTGACAAGTAAGCAAAAAAAAAAAGAAGAAAGAAAACGAGATCTTAAAGGGACACTAAAGCTAAAGTCTTGTCATGTTTTGACAATTTTATTGTTCTCCTTTTTGTAGTGAAAAAAGTAGAGCTGCAAAGAAGATTGGTCACAAAATGAAGAAGTCCAAGTCTGACACAGAAGCGCGCCTCTTAAAACGATCAAAAAAATCATCCCGAAAGAAGAAAAAGAAGAAGAAGAGTGGGAATGAAAAGAGAAAGAAAGACGGGTCCTCGAGCAGCGACTGCAGCACCGATGACAGAAGCGATGTAAAAGGCAGGCAAAAGAAGAAAACGAGGACTAAAAGCCGACACAAAAACAAGAAAACGGCGAAAACCAGAGATGGAAAGGAGGACAGCAGCTCAGGGGACGATAGCGATGAGGAAAAAGAGGAGAGATGGACTAAAAGTGGTAAAAAGCGAAAGCAGGACTCCCTGAAGGACTCCGATTTGGAGCTGGACTCCAAAAAGCAAAGGAGGAACAACTGGAAGGCAGCAGGCGTTGAGCGCTCAGACAATAGTTGCACAGACTGAGACAGATGTGAGCAGACGCACAGCTAATGATGAGGAAAACTACTGCAGGTTTTATTTATTTTATTTTTTTGCCTGGGCTCCACAGAGGGCTCCTGGCTGCAGGGCCGCTTTGTGTTGCATTTTGTTCGACATCAACTAACTTGTGCGTTTGTTCCTCTCTCTGGCTGCTCTGAGGAGTAATATCTCATCAGCTCTGCGGCACCGTCAGCAGGCAGCATGAAGGGGGTGGGATCCACCACCTGCCCCACCAGGACTCCTGCAAGCTGCAGTCTCATTGATTGATCACGCTGGTCTCAGATTCTGACCTGACATTAAAGGTTTTTATTTATCTAAGAGGGAAACAAGTGAAATTATGCAACTTTCATTGGGCTAAAGTTGGGCTTTTATTGATGTTATTAGCTTTATACATTTCTAATGTTTGTATTTCGAGTATTGCAGTATCAAAAATAAACCTATTTTAGTGTATAAACTGTATAAGTAGTGTTTTTTTTTTCCTTAGCCACAAACTTATTCAGTTAGGAAGTGATATTACAGAATATAAATGGTTTCTTTCTTTCTTTTTTTTTTGTATAAACATGGAGGGTAAGAAGCTAAAAATAAGGAATGTGCTACTTAAATGGAGGGAAACAATTATTAGGCAGCTTTTTTAATGTTAAACTTTTTAAATTTTGACTTTAAATCAGCAAAGAAAAACGAACTGCTGTGATTTAAAAATAAACCTGGTGCAGAATAAGCTATTTATATCAGTACAGCAATTTATAGTAGGTTTGATTATTATAAAAGCTACAATTGTTTTTCACATTCATTATGAATAAAAATAACAACTTATTAAAAGTACTGGTATGTTTCACCACTGAAATCATGCCCAAATATGTTTTTTTTTTTAATGCCTCTGTTGGTGTTAAAATACACCAGTTTAACTGGATCACATTTCCCTGTAAGTACAACGAATACTAACACCACTAAACAGATTTCTTGTGCAGAACACCAATGATGCGGTCAAATTATAATCATCTGGAATGCCACAGATGTGTATTATTTCATTTCTGAAAATAGCTCCCAACGATTACCCTGTACACTTGTAGTGTGAATGTTTATGAAGCAGTCACACTTGTGATCCATTTTTCAGCATCTTTCTTGTTCCACAATTTTTAAGCTATTTCAACAAATCAAAGCGTTCAGCTCATTCAGGAGAAGGATGTTATGACTTTTGGTATTGGAGCAACTTTAGCTTTTTGAAATATTTAGTCATTTCTGCTGGGTTTTTTTTTCTCAGAAAATGATTTGAACTCATTTTACATCCTTGAAGTCTTTAGATCTGTTCACAACCATTTACTGCTCCTTTCACATTTTGTTCTGGTTCAGCTTCTTTGTGCACATTACATTTTTTTTCAAACTACTTTCAACTTATATCAGCTGTCTTTTCAGAAGTTTTGTGCTCCTTTCAAGATCTTTCTGTACACAACAACAAACATCTGCAAGTTTCAGATTTTCTGCTATTTCAGCTACCATTTAGCTGTTTTATGCTAATTTTAGCATTTTCAGCTAATTCCACATTTTCAGCACTCATTTCAACCCTTTTCTACTTAATTCAGCAAAAATGTGCTCTCTCCACTTGGTAATTTAAACATCTTTCTGCTTTTTAGCTTCTTTTCAGCTGTTTTTTTTGTTGTTGTTTTTTGGTGCTAATTTTAATCTTTTTTCAGATTTTTTTTTTTTTTGTTATCATTTCTGCTTCTTTCAGCCTAATTGGACAAACGTGTTCTTTCTGCTTTCTTTTACTAATTTAAGCTTGTTCTACCTGTTTGGCTAATTTTAGCATTTTTTTTAGCTAATTTCAGCTGTTTTCAGATAAATTAGATTTTCTGTGATTATTTTTGCTACTTTCAGCCCAATTAATTAACTTATTTCTGATAATTTCAGCTTGTTTTGGTCCTTTCAACTAAATTATGCTAGTTTCAGCCTTTTCTGCTATTTCAGCTATTATTTAGCCATTTTATGCTAATTTGAGATTTTTCAGCAAATTCCACCTCTTTTTTTTAAGCAAATTTCAGCTCTTTTTGCTTCCTTTTAGTAGTTTAAGCCACTTTCTGCCTTTCAGTTACGTTGCAGACTTTTTTTGCTGCTAATTTAAGCCTTTTCTTTTAGCTTATTTCCATTTTTTTGTGCTAATTACTGCTTATTTAAACCTAATTCAGGAAGTATGTGTTCTTTCTGCTTTTTTCTACTAATTTAGGCTTGTTCTTCCATTTCAGCTACATTTCAACATGTTTTTTTTAACAAATTTTAGCAGGTTTTTGTTTTTTTTAGCAAGTTCTGCACATTCATACTGCATTTCCACAGGAATATAATTTTCTCTAGTTTTAGTAACATTTGTTAAACGTACATTTAACTTAACAGGAGTTTAGTACTGATTTGTTAAAGAGTAATATTGACATCAATTTGTGGGATTTGTTGTCAACCAGATTAAATTTCCAACTTTCATTTTCATACAGAATTATAATTGCAAACACGTCTACAGGCTCCTGTTGTTCTAGTTGAGAACCACGACATACCCAAACAAAACAAATGGAATGATATCAAGTTTCATCAGCATACGTTAATCACTTATTTTTCAATAAGAGGCTTTGTTGTCATTCTTTTGATTTGCCAAGTTGTTAAAAGAAACATGGGGCAGCTTCCTCTCAGGAGGCTCTTAAGGATCAAACGCCCAGCAACAATCCTGCCTCTTTCTGAAAACTCAGCTTGTTTATGATGCAGAGAATAGATTTTAATAAGCTGCCATTCGTGATCAAAGTGAATACATTCAGAAACTTGTCAAAGTTTTTACGTTGCAGTCAAGAAGTTCCAAGTAGCTCATTTTGATGAGGAGCAAATTAACATCCCCGTTAAGCGTTATCGTCTGCACTGTAAAAAATAAAGGGATCCATTAACACCATAAACAGGCCTCTTGAACTCTGCTGTGCTCTGTTGTGCCATTATTCTAATCTTATTAACATCATCCTCTGTGCTAACTAGTAACAAATGGTAAGCCTCTCTGCCATTAGGGTATTTTTAGATCATCGGATGCCAGAGGAAGTGTTAGTAAACCACTTTGGAACTGTGTGCACTGTAAAAGCCTGCAGCCCTTTGCTGAGTCTGTGTCAATAGGCTAAGTGCTTTCTTTAGGCAGAAGTGAGAGCAGAGTTCAGTCTGACTGCAGCTGCCAGAATCTGCAGGAGGGAAAAAACCCAAAGTCATGTGAAACCAGCATAGACAGTTTTCATACACCCGTCTCTGTCTGTCCATATGAACTTTAACCTTCTCATCCATAACTCCTGATCCGCTTAAGATAATTTAATAAAACTATACTCGAATGCATCATCTCTAGACTGAGTGTTGTGTAATGTTTTTCATCCACCCCGCTTCAAGTTCAAGGTCACAAATCAAGGTAAAAGATTTTACAAGGTCGCTTGTCCAGTCCATTGCTATACAGTAGATGGCTGTATTGCTGTATAATAGTTTGTTGATAGGCTTATAATGAGCCATATGTGATATTCAAATTAAATGATGTACATGTAAAGATTTACATGTGTGCGGGGTAGTTGGTGCATCATCAGCTAAGAATTAAAATACTCTAGTGGCCAAGTTTATCATTCCAGCCACGACTTCAGTGTTTTCAGTCGGCTCAGTTATTTTGGTATTAGAATTACTTGCCAAAAAAGGTTTATTCTTTATGTAAAGCAAGAAAATGCACCTTGTTTCAAAAAACATAAAAACTGCTGTACAGTCTGTGCAGAATTTATCAATAAACTGCAATGAAATTAACTATTTAACAAAGAAACAACTGCAAAAGAGTGAACATTTTGTAGACAGGACGGTTTGCATTGAAAATGCTTGAATTGACCATCCATGAAACCGTGTTCAGAGTGGACCTTTTAAACACATATTAGCATGCATTAAACAGCGGATGGGATCTTAAGTGAAATAAATAATCACCTTCATCAAGTCCAGGCTCCCCTTTTTTGCATCTACTCAGAATTGCTGATGAAACACTTAGCTCTACCCCGACTGTTTGCTACTTCAGCCGTCCAAGCACATTTTTTAAGACACAGTGTAATCTCTGCATCCTCCTACCTAAGCAGATTTAGTGTTAAGTAATGGTTACAGTGAGCAACACAGAGAAATACTTCACGGCAGGGAGAAGTGGTCTGCTGCACATTTCCAACACTGTAAGTGTCAGTAGTTAATGCAGCGACAGCCTGGAACTGCAAAAGTTGGTGCTGAAGAAACTGACAGCTGAGCATTTATACACCCCAAAGTTTAGTCTTCTAAATGTGAAAGGAAATTTTAGTTTGTGCAAAATGCAAATTTTCTGTATGCAAACCAGCTGAGTGATGATGAGGGAAGATGAGGGATGACCTCGTTCTTAGACTCAACCTTCTCCATCATTGCAGATGCACATAGGACACCAATACAACTGAATACAGACAACCGTTACAACTTCTGTCCAAGCTGCTTGGTTTTATCTCTGTGTACGCTGAGCATCTCTAAGCAAAAGAAGAGGGTGTTTTCTGTTGCTGCAAACGATGAGCTCCAAGTGGACCTTCTTTTTTTCCTGATGTCACTCTTTTTTGTTTTACTACTGTATGATTTTACAGCCCATTCATCATTTACACAGAAAACAAAACAATCCAAGGAGGATCAAAGTTCATGCTCAATAATCCAGGTAGAAAATCCAATAAAGTTCAGTCAGGTTATCTGGACGGTCTTTTTTTTATATATATATATGTTTCATCCTTCATTCAAAGGACTTCATCAGTTCGAGGAGCCACAACAAACTGAGTCCCACAAGCAGCACACCCACATAATGTACCAACCAGTTTGGTGGTGACAAGATGGTTTCTTGGGAAACCACCCCTGAAACCATCTTATCACCAGTGTACTGGTTGGTACACTATGTGGGTGTGCTGCTTGTGGGACTCAGTTTCTTGTGGCTCCTCGGATTGATGAAGTCCTTTGGATGAAGGACGAAATGCCTCAAAAAAAAAAAAAAAAAAAGGAACCGTCCAGATGAACTGACTGAACTTTGTTGAATCCTAGGAGGCTTAAATAAAACTCTGAGACAATAATCGACTTGCTATATCCTACATATTGGTACCACAATCGAAATAGCTGCTGAAGAACTCAAAATTCAAGTGAATGAACAGATTGATCTCATGGATTGTTTTACATGATGTTTTTTAAAGACCAGTGGTGTGTGGAATTTTCAACAAACTGAATAATAAATGTTACATTTGTCATAAATGTTGTTACCGGCAAAAATAAGAGCCAACATACATTGCTTTAAAAGTACCTGCTCACAACTTGTATATAATGCTATCAAGTGTTTACAGACAGGAGAATTGTAATAAAAATCTGGCTCTTGTTTTTAGCACATCACAAAAACTGCTTTTTGCTGATAATTTAAATCCAAGGTTATTAAAAAAAAAAACTTGAAAATATTTGTCTCCCTCTTGTGATAAGCACAAGATGCTACATCAACGTATAACAGCTGGCTTCATTTGGTTTCAGCACCGAGTCCAGCTGGCTTGTCCCTCGTCGTCACACATCCCACTCCGCTCCATCGCTGCTGTGATGCTTTCACACAGGCCTTATAAATAGCGCAGAGGAATCAAATATTTATCGCTTCTGTTTGTGTGACCCGCGCCGCAGTGGATGGTCCTGCAGCACCGTGAAGAAAACGCCACTGATGCAGTTAACCCACAGAAAATAATTTAATACCCTTCATGAGGAGGTCAATGGTTCCAACTTTGAGACATACTAAATACTGAGAGGTGTGATGACACAGGTTTTTAATGTAAAAACTTGCAGCCAACACCCAAAATGTTCTGTAAAAAGCCATGTGACTTCTTTACTTACATAGTTAGTACACATACACCAATGTTTTAATATACTTATATATGTCTTTTTTGTTTGTTGCCTTTTATCTAGACCAGCCAGATACAGTACTGATTAATATACAGTCACATCTGGAACAATATTCAACATCATACAGTCTGACTGTCAGAGAGGAATCCACAGCAGGTATCCATCGCCCATCTTCCGTTAAACGTTAGAAATCAGCGTCGAAAACGTTGTTTTTTTTATTATTATTGTATAGACTGGTGGTGATACTTGTCCTTTGTATCTCGTGTCTTCTGTGCAAATTTTTTTTTCTTTTCTTTGAAAGAACTAAAAACATGATTGACATAACAGGATACCTGGCTGTTCACGTTACAGTTACTGCTTGATGAAGTTTTTTTTTAATTATTTTTTAAATTATTATTTTTATTGTATTTTTTTCTCTTTTTTTTATTTAACAATTAAACAGTCACATCCAAGTGCCACATGATTCTCCCCTTGGCGAGCCACAGAAAACAGTGAAAATTTAAAAAAAAAGCCCAAAAAGTAAATGCTTTTCCCATGACCAGAGTGCGAGGCAATGACAACGAGAAAGATTTAAGACTACAGTGAGCAGCATCCTCCATTCATACATTTAAAGAATAAGGCACCGCTGCATAAAGACAGGACATGGCCGACAAATCTTTCGGGAAACATGACGAGGGAGAGGCAGGATGAAAGGACACTGTTCTTCTCCAGCAACTCACAGAGAGTTAGCATGTGTCTGTAAATGTGCTTGCTTTGAATCATCTGCTGTGTGCAGGAGTGTTTTATGGCATTGTGTGGTTTTTTTTACATGTTAGTGAGTGGCTGAGATAATTTTTTTTGCTACAATGTTTTCCTCAGACTGTGCTCTCAAGCATCCACTCAGTGCTGCTGAATGTAACTCTCCTGTTGGCGAGCGGTGACGACTCCATGTTGAGCTGGTTGGTGGACTTGTGCCACCTCGTCCTCGCTCTGCGTGGGTAACTATGACTCTGAAATATGGAGTAATCCCCCCCGTCAAATGAGAATCTGTGCCTAGTTCGTGCCAGCTCATTAGGAAGTAACCCCATGTTGGCCAGAGCACTTTTCTTGTCCTTTATCCTGGGAGCCTCCTTGGAGCCAGCAGTGGAGCCTATGAGGCACAAGGACATGGTGGAGCCCGTCAGGCTACTGTCTGTCTGCGTGTCCTCAGACGGGGGCCCTGAGCAATGGGCATCCAAGCTGCTTCTTCTCATCATCTTATCCACATTTGGAGGCAGTTCTACCTCTAGGACAGCAGTGGTGGCTGCTGGGTTCTCCTTCTTCTCATTGTCCACCCTAAGCACCAGAGCCATGCACTCTTTGGGCGCCTGAGCCACCCGCTGCTCCTCGTCAGATTGCGGCAGCCTGGACGCGGAGCGCTGGAGCCGCTGCTGGCTGCCGTTGGTCTGCGAGTGCATGCTGGAGCTGACTTTAAGTTTGCCTTCAACCGGGCTGCTGTAGGCCTTGTAGCGGATCATCAGGATGACGATGAACACCAGCACCGAGGCAACTATGATGCCGCCGATGATTATGATCATGGTGCCACCCAGAAACTGGCTGTGCATGAACCGGCACTGGCTGACCTCACTGGCCGTGTGGAACTGCACGCAGCCGACCACGCGTGTGGCCGTTAACGATGTGATGCCATCGTCATACACCGCCAGTACGCAGAGGTCGTACTCCCGTCCGGCAGCCAGATCGTTGATTAAGAAGTTCTTGCTGGTTGATGGAATCATTCTGCAGAGCAAAGACAAACAGAGAAGTTGTGAAGATGGAGAGGTCCAATGATGAGAATCACGACACCCACATGTACTGATTTGCATTAGGGTGCAGTAAATCACACAACTAAGAGAAAAATAACTCTACTAGCATAAAATCAGCCTTTTGGACAGTCAAGCAAAAACAAATCACTTGTAAGAGCAAATGTTACTTTATAAGATAGTTATTTTAAAGCAAAAGTGATAAACAAGGTAGAAAAGGATCACTCAGTAATCAAGCACAATAGCTGCGGGCTGCAGGACAAGTGATGCATGTTGGGAAGACAGTTTTGATGTGTGATTACCTAAGGTCACACTTTGTAGCTGCTGGATTAAACTAAATACACAGGAGGAAGGCATTGTCTGCATGTCAGCATTGGCGTTAATATAATTAGAAGCTTGTTCCTTTTCCCTAAAGGCAGGAGACTTGGATGGTTATCATTTGTAGGTGATAATGTACCACCTGAAGACAAAACAACACTCAGCTTTTTCCTGGAACCGAATGAGAAAATTATACAAGAGAGCTACTCATTATATCGGATGAAAGCTTGAAAAAAGAAAACATGCCAACCACTAACATTACTGGGCTCCATCAACACAAAATTTCATATGTAAAGTTAATTTGTGTCACACACTTCAAAAGAATCAGATAAAGCTTTATTTTTTGCCTGTATTTTCAGAATATTTTAAAAAATGGTAGTTTCACCGTCATATGAACGAGTGAGTGAGATCTTTTTGCATAAACGTCTGCCTTTATTAGTTGCTTTACTGGCAGTAAAATGTAACCTAGTTTAAAATGCACTGCACAGAAAATGACTATGTACTTGAAACTTTGCAATCAAGCCATCAGGATAATGATGTAAAAAAAGTACTATTAGTTATTGGTTATTTATTTTTGTTATTTAATTTATTGCCCAACGTTAAAGGGAGAAAGTGGAAAATTAATGCATTTGCCTGCAATGAATGCATTCATTTGTACGTGCACGTGTTTGTGTGCCTTTCTGTCAATAAAATAGCTCACGAGCAACTTGATGGCCTGTTATGAAACTTCTAGAAAATATTCATTGTATATAGCTGCCTCAGTCAAATGACAGAAAATACAAAAATTGACTATAATTTATTTTTTGTTTATTCAGCTCGATCCAAAATAATTTGTAATCAGAGTGTTTCACTTACTGTGCAACATGTTTGCCCATGGCTTTAATATTAACTCTTAAAATCAACACTGTCAGGAAAATATCTAATGAACCATTTGACAGAATTTAAGAGAAATCTCTTAAAGTTATTGCTGAATGTACATTAGATGTAAATCTACAGTTCATTCACAGTTGGAGTCAAACCAGTTTAAGATGGCTGCCACAGCTAATTGATCTTAGCCAACAAATGCTGATATTAGAATACTTTTAGTGGTAGCTTAGTCATTTTTAACAGGTTATCTGACACATCTTGAATGAATTTAGATAATATCATGAGACTGTACATTGTGTCATTTACCAGATTTGACCTAAATGGCTACAACTCTGTTTCTTCTCTACACAACATGACTTGTTTAAAACTGGCATAAAAGGCAACAATAACTAGGCATATCTATCTATCTATCTATCTATCTATCTATCTATCTATCTATCTAT